TTTTTATAAATATAAATAAAATAGTACTTTACGGTAACAACCATAATATTTTCGGATTCGTCTTTCAATTTTCTACAAACTACTCCCTTATGTTTTTGGAAAAAATCCTGATTTTCGAGTAAAACTTAAAAAACAAACTGAGAACAAACTTCGATATTCGAATATAATGATTTTTAAAATTACATAGTGGCTGCGATAGCAACTTTGACATTCTGAGCAGTTAGAAGAAAGAATAAATAATGCTTTTCATCAGATTCAAGCAACAAATAAATTTCGAACAAATTACATTTTCGTTACTAAAAAGATGTCGGTCCTGTGTTCGTGGAAATGGAGGTATTTTTGAGCATTTACTCAAATAAAATCATTAAAATGATGACTAATGTTAATTTCTTTATTCGAAAGAAAAACAGAAGAGAGTAGTAATTCATGGAAAATTGAAAGAGAAACCCGAAAATATCATGGTTGTTACTGTAAAGAAGTGGCGTACTATTTTATTTAGAAAAATATGTCACCGATACCATGTATCTCCGCCACTGGAGTATGTAAATTTTAGAAAAAAAAAAAAGATTTTGGACAATGTTTACATAAATACATGTGCCGAATTTCAAATTATTTCACTTATTAGTTTTTAAATTATTTAAAAAAATTACAAATATTTTTTGAAGTTTAACTAGGGCGCTTTAAGGGGGCAATTTAGTATGTATATTTTTACCGTGTAACAGAGCTTCAGATGAGGACACCAATCATCGAAGAAACTAACATAATTGGATATATATTATATATCAATCTATTCGCAATGGTTCCCGCTAGTGAGTGAGATAATTTTCAATGCTCATGAGAACAGAAGAATAATTTAAATAAATGCCAAAGTACCTCAATTTTAATCATACTGTTAGTCTGTCAATATATTGCATTTACGACGGAACTAGGTAAGGCACAATAACCAAACTACTTCACTCACTAGAACGGACACCTAGGATCATTTGTATTTAATTTTCAGATTAATATTTATTAATAATTCTATAATTTGTGTCCTCATGTAAAATGACAACATTTTACACACGATCTCTATTTTTATTACATATCTAAACCAGAATTGTAGCGTCCTATCTAGATACCAGATTTTGTTTGTGTGAATTAGTTTGTATACTCTCTCACAGGTGTCGCTACCCTTGAAAATAAAATTAAGCAGAGTTGGTTTATTATAAATTGCGTGCTAAAATAAAGCATATATAGTATTATCTTTGATATATAAATTTGGGTAATTTTTTAAAAGTACCTAAGTAATAAGATTTTGTAAAGCTTAAGTAGTACGAAAATATAACGCATAAAAAAACAATATGTACTAATTTTTCTTTATTAAGAATAAAGATTAAATTTTACGTACAGGGTGTCCCACATAAAATCGTTATTTATGTTTAAATAAATTTACAGCTTAAAAATTAGCCTGGCTCAGATAGATTTCTTCTTCAATCTACAAATCTACAAATCTTCAAGCTACTTACCGGTAAGAAGGAAACCACTGGATATTTAATGAAAAAAGTTACGACCAAAAAAATTATACATTCTTGAATATAAATATAACTAACACGATTTTAATTTCATATTGTCTTGACAATCAACTTTTGCTTATTTTTAGTCACTTACTATCGAAATAAATGAAATAAACCTCTGAGTTTGGAAACCGATATTAAGAAAACGTTGGGGCAAAAAATTTGAAATTTGGACCA